TCGTTTCGCCTGCTCATGGCCTGTAGTGCCTGGCACAGGTCGCTCCTGACACTTTTCGCAGGTGCTGCGACACGCGGCGGGGGGCAGCCACATTCGCCGCAATGCACTGCGAGGTCCATGTTGGTGCTGCTCACCACGTGATCGGCTCCCCGCCTGTACCCACGCAGTCGCTGATTGCCCTTCGACACACATGCGACCATGCGTCATCGTCTTCCTGCACCTGTTCCAGCTTTGTGGCATCGGCGGTACAACGGCCCACGATCAGTTCACGTCCGCCAGCATATTCTTTTTGTGTTCCAGGCGTGACTTGTGCGCTGGCGGCACAGGGGCCAGGCAATCGATGGGTTCGGCATATCCATCTGGTGCAGCTGTTTCCTCTTCCACTTCAGCTTGTATGTGGGGTTCGATTTCGGGACCATTCGTGGCGGCCTTTGCTTGCGGCGCTGGGCGGCCCACTTCATCAAGCGGCGGCTCCCACGGAAACGGTTCCCACAGCGGCGGTTCCCACGGCGTCACCAGCGATTCAAAAACGGCGGCCCCCGTAGAGACGGTTACCAAGGAGGCGGCACCCACGGCGGCGGCTCCCACGGCGGCGGCTCCCTCGGCGGCAGTTCCCACAGAAACGGTTCCCACGAAGGCGGCTCTCACGGGCTCCCAAGGTGGCTCCCATGGTGGTGGTTCCCAGAGTTCCCATGTCGGCGGCTCCCACCACCGCGGTTCCTCTAAGCGGGCCCCCCATAGCTACCACCGCGGCTACCGTGACGGCACTTCCCACGACAGCTTCCGCGGCGACGGCTTCCACACTGAGGCGACTCTCGCAGCGGCTGCCCCCGCGGCGGCGGTTCCCAACGGCGCTCCTTTCCTCTGACAATATGAAGGGGTTCCCCAAACGGCGGCCCCCACGGCAGCAGCTCCCACGCAGGCGGCTCCCAAAGCGACGGCAACCACGGCGATTCCCAAGGCGGCGGTTCCCAATGAGGCGGTTCCCACGGTAGTTGCTCCCATTCAGGCGGCCCCCACGGCGGCTGTTCCCACCCAGGCGGCCCCCGCGGCGGCGGTCCCCACGGCGGCGCCTCCCACAGCGGCGGTTTCGAAGGCAGCTCCCGCGGCGGCGGTTCCGACGCAGGCGGTTCCTGCGCGCGGCGGCCCCCGCGCGGGCGGCTCCCACGCACCCAAGGGCGATTCCTACGGCGGCTTCCGCGCAACGGTTCCTACACACGCGGCTCCCACGCGCGACGAACCCTGCGCTGGCGGAGCGCAAAACGACCATAGACGAACGAGGGCAGGCATCTCCGTCAGGCAGTCGATCCCTCGCGGCGTTTCCCAATTTGGGGCGATGGCGCCCATGGGCCATCATCGTTTCGCCTCTTCCGGGCCTGTAAGAACTGCCTGGGACAGGTCGCTCCTTCTCACTCGCAGGTGCTGCGGCACGCGGCGGGGTACAGCCTCACTCGCCGCAATGCACTGCGAGGTCCATGCTGGTGATTCGCACCAGCGTGGTCGGTTCCACGCCTGTGCCCTCATAGACGTTGATCGACACCCACGCAACAATCAATAGTCATAGCATCCTCACCACACCATCGGAAGTATCAGCCTCACCATCATCATCAACATCATTGTCAGCATCATCATCAGCATCACCATCATCAGCATGATCATCACCATCATCACATCATCATCATATCATCAACAGCATCATCATCAGCAGCATCAGCATCAGCATCAGCATCAGCATCAGCATCAGCATCAGCATCATCATCATCATCATCATCATCATCATCATCATCATCCTCATCATCATCATCATCATCATCATCATCATCATCATTTCATCATCATCATCAGCAGCATCAGCATCAGCATCAGCAGCATCAGCATCAGCATCAGCATCAGCATCAGCATCAGCATCGTCATCATCAGCATCATCATCATCATCAGCATCATCATCTGAAGCAGCAACAGCAGCATCAGCGTCAGCATCAGCATCACCATCACCATCACCATCACCACCACCATCATCATCATCGTCATCATCGTCCTCATCATCCTCAGCATCGACATCATCATCATCAACAGCAGCATCAGCATCATCAGCATCATCCTCATCACCATCATCATCAGAGTCATCATCATCATCATCATCATCATCATCATCATCATCATGCTCATCATCAGAGTCATCATCAGAGTCATCATCAGAGTCATCATCGCCATCAACAACATCAACAACATCATCATCTGCATTCTCTTCCTCGTCGTCTTCGTTGCCGTCATCGTTATCCCTCCCACCACCAAATTCATTGTCATCAACATCATCACCGTCAAAATCAGCACGGATAATATGGCGATGACTGTCGCAACTGTCAGCAAACGTAACCATCATCAGAATCGGTCTGTCAAACGATGCAGTATCATCAGCACCCTCGAAGTCATCATCGTGATCAGTGTCGTCGTGAGCGCCTTGGCTCCGCCCATCGTGCACAGGAATGAAGAGGGAGGGATGAGCAAACGGGGAGAGGGGAAGACACAGGCGGAAAAAGAGAGGGAGGTAGATACTCGTTCTGGGGACCTTCCTTCAACCACTCGCTCCATTCATGCGTCCATGCTGCATCGGTGCTGCGCCGAACGTGCGTCAACTTGAGTCGAACTTGAGCCGAACTTGAGTCAAACTTGAATCGAGCCAAAATCTGATTCGAACCAGAGTCGAACAGATCCGTGGGGTGGCCCCCAAGGGAGTCCCCGAAACGAACACCTACAGGGAGGGAGGAGGGAGGACGCCAGAAGGACGTGAGGAGACGGCTCAGTGAAGGAAAGGCGAGGGGTGGAGGAAAGGGGTAGAGGAAGAAAAACGACATAAACATAGACTTAAGTCGGGCGTGTCCCTCTATAGGAGGAAACTTCAAAAATAGTCAAAAAATAGTCGGGATGTTCCTACTATTTTTCAGTTGTTGTTTGAATGTGTTTCGGGTATTATAAGTTTTCGCCCAAAATCCATCTGCAGGGGGACGAGCCCGACCGAAACATAGACGTTCGAACGGTCCGCGCAGATTTCATGGATCTGCGCCGGACCCCCCTCCTCGGCGCGCGAAGCGCGCCAGGGGCGGCGCCAGAGGCGCCGCTCGGAGGGCCCCAGAGCGGATCCAAGAAATTTGCGTTGAGCGCAGCAAGTCGATGCTCATGCCGCTTGTTCTACTCCAAGGAATGGCGAGGGGTGGAGAAAATTGGGCCCCACATGGAGCCGCATCGCTGATGCATCGCCGATGCATCGGCGATGCGGCGCGATCTTGCGAGCCCACAGACACGGAGGACCGTGCCCCTCCCCGACACCCATCGTCCTGCCCACGCCCTCCGCGACAAGGGCAGGGCCCCCCAGAGGGCACAGCGCGGCAAGGTAGTGCTGCCCGAAGAGCGCGAGCATGCCGGACCGGGGGACCTCGCCGCGGCCACCGCAACCGCCTCCTCCTCCTCTTTCTCCTCCTTTTTTTTACGAGGCATGATATCTGCATGAAGTGACAGAGGTGGCGTTCTCCGGTCGCCGCCCCCCCTCGCGGGAGGTCGCCCCCGCCAGCTTGTACATGACCACGTTCTCGAATTCATAAATATACCTGCAGCGGATGTCTGTGCCAAGGCACTCTCGGGCTGAATATGTTCTTCCAGTCCAGCGTCCTCGTCCCCGCAGCGTTCGTCAACAAACTTTGCAAGGCCTGTTGAAACTGCGATACACTGCTCGATGACTCCACGATCCATGGCGGAAGTCTGTTGTAGATAGTGACAAGACCAAGTAAAGAATGTTTGATGTAATCCGCTGGGCGCAAGTTTGGCAGAACAAAATCACTCCAGTGACCGTCGGAATACTCTACCAATTGTAAACGGTGTCTTCCTTCACGACGTGCTGACGACCTTGTGTCAATCTTGAAAAACTGTCTAAAGTGCGCCGGTCCGCTTCCCAAGACTGCGCGGTGGATCAGACCCAGCATCGCCATGTCTCTCCGAGACGACAAGGGCGCGAGCCGGAGAGATATCAGAGCCTCCTCCGGGGTGGCGCCAACAGCTGCAACAAGCTTGTCTTGTACGTGGTCCAGAGATTCTAGTGACGTCCTGCATGCATGGTATATTGCAGCAGTTCTGTACTCAATGAACGACAGCAACTGGGCTTTGTACAAAATGACCAAATGACCGCTCGTATTGTACTTGCACGTCCACGTCCTGAGAATTGCTTTCAGCTTCCACCTACAGTCCTTTGCCAATCCGAAAACAGAATCTGTCATAAGAAGCTTCGTATCAAAAGCCACTCCCAACAATACAAACGAGGTCCCACGCGGATGCTTTCTGGATAAAATGTGTTTCGATTCCTTCCCAGCGTCAAATGTAACTCGATTGGCTTTGCCCCACTTGTGGAGCTCTCGTTGACAAGAATCGACGTCTACAAGAATTTCACTGTTCGTGACTTCACCGCCGTACTCTTTGAACGCATTCAGATCGTCGGCAAAAATAATTTCGGTGAGTTGCATCTTCCGGATTGGTTCCGAGGAGTCCGCGTAAAATGCGTTCCACAGCATTGGCCCCCAAACTGTCCCCTGGAATACCATGTCGCCTAACAACAGCTCCCTGGACTTCCCGCCTTCGACCACCACTTGAGCCCGTCTGACGCTCAACCACGACTTGAACAGTTCCAGATTTTCTGGCGGCACCCCTCTCGCGGCTAGCTTTTGCAATAGCCGGTTAACAAAAACTCTGTCGAACGCAGCGTGACCACGATGGAAACCACCGCAACCGCAAGTTCACAAAAAGATTCCAGGACGGGCGCAATCCCAAATTTACATGGCAGCGTTTCGCACTTGCACTCACGGTTCACTCTGCACAGCGCGCAGCGCATGCAATTACACGCGCCTTCGCCTTGCAAACATCACCCCAGGAACCATCTTAATAACACCAAAGGTGACCTGTGGGACCTGCGGGACCTGTCGAACCTGCCAGAATTGGGAGAAATGTTGGGAGCGTGAGCCCTGTGGAACTTGTGGGAGCTGTGCGGGCTGCGGTAGCTGTGGGACCTGAGGGACCTGCGAGACCTGTGGGACCCTTGGGACCTGTGGGACGCGTGGGCCTGGTGGGACCTGTGGGGCCTTCGAAATTGCAAAACTTGTCGTCCCTGCGAGACCTGTGGGACCTGTGGGACCTGCGGGGCTTGCGCCACCTGCGACACCTGCCTGACCTGTCGGACCTGTAGGACCTGAGGGACTCGCAGGACCTGTGGGACCTGTGGGACCTGCGATACCAGTGGGACCTGTGGCGCCTGTGGCACCTGTAGGCCCCGTGGGACCTGCGGAACTTGCGGGGCCTGCGGGACCGGCGCGACATGTGGGACCTGTGGGACCTGTGGGACCGGAGGGGCTGGGTGGACCTGTGGGGCCTGTGGGACCTGTAGGGCCTGAGGGGCCTGTGGGGCATGCGTCGCCTGTGGGACGTGTGGGACATGCGGGACCTGCGCGACCTGCGAAACCTGTGGGACCTGCGGGTCCTGCGGAACCTGCGGGACCTGCGGACCCCGTGGCCCTTGTAGGACCTGTAAGCCCTATCGGGCCTGTGGGACCTGTGGGGCCTTCGGGGCATGTGGGACCTGGGGGGACTGGGACTTGCGGGGCCTGCGGGACTTGCCAGACCTACGAGGCCTGCGGGGCTTGCGGGACTTGTAGGACCTGTGGGACATGTGGGGCATGTGGGACTTGTGGGACATGTGGGATATGCTGGGCCTGCGGGATTTGTGGGACCTGCGCGACCTGCGGGACTTGTGGGACTCGTGGGACCTGTGCTGGCGGCGGGACCTGTCGGACCTGCGGGACCTGTGGGACCCGGGGGGCCTGTGGGACCTGAGGGACTTGAGGGACCTGGGAGACCTGCGGAACCTGTGGGACCTGTGAGAGCTGCGGGACCTGCGGGACATGTGCGACCGGTGGACCTGCGAGAACCTGTGAAACCTGTGGGGTCATTCATACCTGTGGGACCTGTGGCACCTGCGGACCTGCGGGACCTGCGGGTCCTGTGGGACCTGTTGGACCTATGGGTCCTCTGGGACCTACGGGACCTGTGGGAATTGCGGGACATGCGGGACCTGCGAGACCTTTAAAACCTGTAAGACCCGTGGGGCCTGCGGAACCTGTGGGACGTGCGGGACCTGCATGTGGGACCTGTGGGACCTGCGGGGCCTGCGGGGCCTATGGAGTATGCGGGACTGGCGGGTCCTGCGCGACCTGCGAGACCTGTGGGACCTACGGACCCTGTGGATCCTGTGGGGCCTGCGGGACCTGTGGGGCTTGTGGGACCTGTAGGACCTGTGGGACCTGTGGGACCCAGTGGGACCTGCGGGACCTGCGGGGCCTGCGGGGCCTGCGGGACCTGCGAGACCTGCGCGACACGCGGGACCTGCGGAACCTGTGGAACCTATGGGACATGTGAAACATGTGGGACCTGTGGGGCCTGTGGGACCTGTGGGGCCCGCGAGGCCTGTGGGACCCTTGGGACCTGTGGGACGTGTGGGACCTGTAGGACCTGCGAGACCTGTGGGACCTTTGGCACCTTCTTTGCGACTTGTGGGTCCTGTGGGACCTGTAAGACCTGTAGGACCTGTGGGACCTGTGGGACCTGCGGGACCTGTGACACCTGCAAGACCTTGGGACCGGTGGGATCTGTTGGGCCTGAGGGACCTGTGGGACCTGTGGGACCTGCGGGACCTGCGGGACCTCCGGGACCTGTGGCACCTGTGGCACCTGTGCGGCCTGTGGGACCTGCGGGACCTGCGGGACCTGCGGGACCGGCGAGACCTTCGAGACCTGCGGGACCCGTGGGACCTATGGGACCTGTGGGACATCTGGGACACGTGGGACCTGTGGAACCTGTGGGACCTGTGACCGCCGAGGACCCAAGTAAGGCCCTGAATTCTGGGACCGCCAGGCACCCAAGTAAGGACCTTACTTGGGACCCCGGGAATTCCTTATTAAATTTGGTGGATCGACAGATGTCTCGCACTTTGGGACCATCGAGGCCCCCCGGGGGGCATTTATTAAGGAACCAGAAGTTTCCTTACGTCCACCATGTTTTCTTGGAGCGGAAAGACCCAAAGTTCAAACGCCCCGGCGTAGCCGTCGGAAGCCCCCAACCAGCCACCCAGCTTGGAAACGCGCGGCAAATGTTTCGCCGAGGCTGAACGCGACTCTGCTGCCGTCGCCACCGTAGCTGCACTGCATCCGGTGATCCACTGGCCTCAGGGCCCCGAAGAGTAAGCCTCCTGGCGGTGTCCTGACGACCTCCTGGAATCTGCGGGGAGACCGCCGGGGGACCTCCCCTGGTCCTCTTGGGGGCCCCCCGCAAACTTCCAGAAGGGGGCTGGGAGGTCCCCCAGAAGTTTTCTTTGGTCCTTGCAAGCCTTCTGGGAATCCCCCCCGAGGACCAGGGTCCGGGAGCCTCCCCCAGACCTCGAAATCTGGCAGGGCTCCCTCCAAGGGGAAACTTCCGGGGAGACCAGGGGAGGCCCCCTGGAAACCCCCCCTGGTCCTCCCGGGGCGCTGGGGGGAAACTTGGTGGAGGACCAGGTGAGGTCTCCTGGAAGCTTCCCCTGGTCCTCCCGAAAGCCTCCCACAGGAGACCCCCCCCCCCTGCGGGAACTCTCATCGGAGGCTTCCAGGTGAACCAGGGGAAGCCTCCCAGAGACCTCCCCTGGTCGTCCCGGAAGCCTGGGGGAGGCCTCGCCTGGTGCTCCCAGGGGCCGTGGGAAGCCTCTCGCCACACCTTGTGGAAACCAAGGGGAGCCTCCGGAAGGCCTTCCGAAGCCCTCGGGGGGATCAGGGGGAGGTCTCCAGGAGAACCAGAGGAAGTCTGGTGGAGGCCCCCTCCACCTCGCCGGAGGAGGGCCCGCTGGGAGGTCTGGTCGACGTGGAAGGGGGGCATCCCACCAGACCTGTTGGAGGTGGAAGGGAATGCGAGTGGACGAGGGGGAAAACAACCAGAAGAGGTCGCGCGAAAGGTGGACAATAAATGAACAATGCTCACCAAAAAAAAAAAAGAAGAAAAAAAAACATGCGCAAGCGCCCAACGAAACAAACTTATAGACACTCCAACAATTTGGCGCGCCGCGAAGAAGGGGAAAGGGGCGGGGGGCCCGCGTGCCCACGAGGAACAAACTTAACGGCATGGCAATCGCTACTGGACACGCCGTCACGCAGAGCCGCTCTGACAACACACACGCACACGGGCGCATCATCGCGCAAAAGCGGCCGAACCACGCCGCGCAAAGCATCGCTGCGCCAAGGCGACCCGCCCATGCAAAACACGCGCAAATGGCATCGGAAAAGAGCGCTACGCGCTGCGCAAAAAAAATCTGGCGCGGTGCCGCAACAATCAGGCGGCTACGAATGTAAACTCCTCTGAACTGCGCGCGCGCGTCGTGTTAAACAGGCCGCGCCGCGCAGGCACGCCACTCGGTCTCGCGCCAGCACGTCGAAGGGAAGGTCTGCGGGAGACGCTCTGCAAGTGGCAATGAAGCAACCCCACGAGAACGCGATACATGTGAAATCGAAGCACGTGCCAACAGTAACCGCGACAGCAGAACAACCAACAAACAATCATGTTAAAGAAACATCCATAACTTCCGGTTGCGGTGGTTTCTTGCGCGGTCACAGCGGACACATCCGACATGTAAAGAGCAATATTTGACTTCGACCGGAAAGCCGTCAGCCATGACAGTGCGAGAAATGCCAAAGCGTCCCTCGCACCCCTTCCGTGGCTGTACGCGAACTGGTTGCTACCGATGCTGGCCTCAGACATGAGCACGGGAAAAAGTGCAGGCTTCAATAATATTTCCATGACCTTCGCGAGCTGAGCGGCGAGGTGCACTCCTCGGTAGTTGTCCGGGCCGTACGCAGCCTTTTTCTTGTAAATGGCAACAATCCACTGGATCCCCCAATTGGCAGGCCATACTCCCTTGGATCTGATCGCTGAGCTAAGCAGAAATACTGGAAGCGCAAGTGATGTTGCGCATCGCTTGAGAATTCTCGTTGGTAGCAGGTCAGGGCCAGTGGCACTGTCTTCCACGAGAGCGTCCAAAACGGATTCCGCCTCCTTTACAGAAGCGGTCTCAGTCGATTCCGGTACCCCCTCAACGTCCAAAGCTCGGACATGAGAGTACTCGTTCTGCTCTCGCTCGGGCAGAACAAACTTGCTACTGAAAACTGTTGCTAATAAATCCGCTTTCTCGCTTGGCTCCCTGACCCAATTCCCGCCCTTCCCTCGCAATGTTGGGATCGCGCTCGGCCGTGCTCTCTGATGCTGGAGTTGTCGTTCCTTTGCGCACCAATTCTTGGACCCGCTCTTCATCGAAGCGAGTTCTGATCGCACTTCGCCGCACCACCGGGTATACTCTTCCATGATGACCTGGCTGCAATGGATAGCTGCATCAACCTCCTGTTCGGTCCCCTCCGCTTGTCTTTTCGTCTCCACGGCTGAAACCGCTCGGCCATTCAACCACGGGTGCGAAGATTTCTTTTTCGTTATCCACTTTGTCTGCACACACTCCCGGGCATAATCCAAAATTATTCCAGTCATCTTCACTGCGCCGCGCGTTGGGTCTGAATGAGAAAGGAATCGCCAATCCACAGAGGTCAACATCTCGTTGAGTTTGCCCCAGTCGGCATCTCTGAACAACCAAACTTCTCTCTGTATATCAACTGCAGTTGGGACCCTCAGGGAAACGGCTGCCTGCACGACATTGTGGTCCGCCAATTTCGGTAATACTGCCACCTTCACACCGTCCGTGTCTGTAAGCACCAAGTCCAACAGGTGCGGACCCCGGGTTGGTGCTCGAACACATTGTCGCAGACCCATGTCCGAGGCAGCAAGTCTGAGCGCCTCCCCTTCCGGCGACGTGCGCGAGGAAAAACGCAACCAAGAGGTGTGGTGAACATTCAAATCTCCCAAAAGTATTGTGCCCATAAATCCGTCACATATGGCAGAATGCTCCTCGACACAAGTACGAATGGATAAAACCTCATTGGCTGGTGGTCTGTACCACGTTCCCAAAAGGTACGGCCCCCGCTCTGTGTGCAACGCACACCAGATCCTCTCAGCAGTGCCCGATTTGCTCACTAGCGTTACTTGTGCCGCGATGGAGCTATCAACAAAAATCGCTACCCCCCCACGGCCGTGGTCGTCAGACCGATCCCGGCGTGCCACTTCAACGAACCCTTCAAAATCTATGCTCGAGACCGCACGGTCCAGGAATGACTCGTTAATACAGATAATGTCCGGTTTCCTGTCGCTGAGCCGCACCCGGGCCACCAACTCAGCCATAGAGCTGCGAAGCCCCTGAATATTGATCAACCAGAACATCAAATCGAGGGCGTGAAATTGACTACGTTCGGGGCCCTCAGCATGCACCCGCCCTGCAGACGAGAGAATAGCCCCCACCTCATCCACGCTGCCATCCAGGCCCTGGCCGGAAGAATCCACGTGGACAGCCAGCTCCCCTATTGCATTCCTCGGCTTTGGCGTGAACGGAACATCCCCGCACACATTGAAATACACACCCCTCCCTCCCCCGATTGATTTCCCCATTTCCTACTCCTCAGAATTGAGCCTGCCGAAAGCGTCGCGCCACGCAACCGCCTCCCCGACAAGCTGCATAGCGCCATCCTTCCAAAAAGCCACTCGTTTGTCTTTGAACCAAACTATTCCCTTTCGGTAGTTTGCATCAATATGTGGCTTAACTGTGTTCCCGTCTCCCCCATTGGACTCGATGACCGTCCGCACCATTTTCCGTACAGCGCGTTCTCGTTTCGAGTCGTCCGATCCCGGCTCATGCACGGAGTCCGTGTTGCAATACACCTTCGTGCCCTTGTAGTCGTACACGTGCTGTCTGGCCCTGTCCTCCATGTACTTCCGCATGGCCTCCGCATGTAAACGAGCGCCTCCACGCTCGGCAAATTTTTTACCGTAGGCAAACACCTCCTCCAAGTCACTCTTCGCAAGCTCCAGCTGCTCGTTCATGAACTTGATTATGTCGTCTGCCTTTGTGTCTTCTGGGAACTGGCCGAAGTTGATTGTACGGTGCCGTTTCTCATTCGCCTCATCGCCGTAATTCTTTTGCTCCGACATCGGGTTTGAATTCGTCCGTGGTCGTGTGGTCGAGGACCTCGCCCGGAAGGCATTGAACTCCGCCTGAAGCACATCTACCGTCTTCATCGTGGACTCCATCTCTCGGACGTCCGTGCGGAGCTCCCTTACCTCCTCCTGTGCCTTCATCGCGGTCACCTTTGCGTCGTCCACCTTGGCCGCCATCCGCTCCAGAGCATCGTCAACCTTGTGGTTCGTGTGCTGCATAAGCGCCCGCTGCATGGCGACGGCCCACTCCGGCATGCCCTCAACCACTGCAATCGCGAGCTCATCTGTCTTGCCCTTCTTCCTATCAGGAGATCCTCCTGCCTCCATCTCCGTCGACATGCCCACACTTACCTTGAGCCCACACTCTACTTGAGACGGGGCTCCGAGAGCGCGCCGCACCGTCTCGTTTACTTGAGCCGTCCTCCTCCTCCACCTCCTCCTCTTCCTCCTCCTCCTCCTCCTTGTCTTCCTTGTCCTCCGCCTCCTCCGCCTCCTCCTCCTCTTTTTCCTCCTCCTCCTCCTCCTCCTCCTCCTCCAGTGTTCTCCTCATAGATAACTCCTCCCTGTCGCACCCCGAGGCCAGCTTATAGGGCGTGCCGGGCGTTTCGCCTGAGACGTCCTCTCAATGTATGACTCTGAACCTGAAAAAGTAACAACAGTTTCACAGACGGAAGGCGGGTGGTGTTCAAATTGTGGCTCTCGCCTCATCGCCGCGCAAATTCGCTTGAAAATTTGCAGCAAAAGTTTCACGGATTGAGGGCGGGTCGTTTTCAAAATGTAGCTCTCGCATTAGCGCCGCGCACATTTGCAAGGGTTTCACGGATTGAGGGCGAGTCGTCTTCAAAATAAAGCTCTCGCATTAGCGCCGCGCACAGTCGTTTCAAAAAATTGCAAGAGCTTCACGGATTGAGGACGGGCCGATGTCAAAAAATGTGGATCTCGCCTTAGCGCCGCGCGCATTCGTTTTAAACATGTGCAAAAGTTTCACGGAGTGAGGGCTTTCAAAATGTGGCTCTCGCCTTAGTGCCGCGCGCATGCGTTTTGAAAATTCGCAAGTGTTTCACGGATTGAGAGCGGTTCAGTTTCAAAATGTGGCTCTCGCCCTAGCGCCGCGCACATTCTTTTTAAAAAATTGCAGATGTTCCTCGGATTCCATTGATCAACGTACCAGACATGTTTTGGAAGGATTCAGGATTGCGCGGGTGTAACAGTTATGTTGATTCGCGGTGTTGAAGTCCCAAAAATGGCGCTCTGGCACGATTCCTGATCGCTGAGACGCAGCAATCAGGTTGATACGTGGCGTTGAAATCCGGAGAACCATATTTTGGCATGCTTCAGGATCTTCAAACGGTTGTCTTCCAACGAAGCAGTTCCCTCAATGGAAATGAACCGTTGTGGGGGCCTATGAAGAGGGAGCTTGAAGGGAGGGATAATTCCAACATCGTTGATGACTTTTGGCTTTACACTGGTCCTCCTCCTCCTCCTCCTCCTCCTCCTGCTCCTGCTCCTGCTCCTCCTCCACGACGCTGGGCGCAAGTAGCTCCATCGCACCCCTTCCATGCTCTCGCGAGCGGGACGAGCGGGCATCCTGCCCAGGCGCGCAGGAGCGAGCTCGAAACGCCCAAGTCTGCGGGTGCAACCTGCCGTGCTGCTTCCAGCCGTCTCCCCAGTACAGTAGTCATAGCATTTGGCACGTCCGACATGCCCCATCCTCCTCCGACCTCCACCTCAATTCTCCTTGCCCTTCTCGCCAGCACCGCACTGCCACCAACATCAGCGAGGGCGCTCTCTTTGGGCGCTGCGCAACGGAAAATCATCCCCCCTCATCTGGAGCCTGGACCCCCACGGCCCCCACCCCTCATGGACAGAAAACCTTCCCCCTCCCCTCCAAAATCCGGATCCCCCTCCGTTTCCTCGAATATCCCCCCCCCTAACTCCGCAATTGGGACCTCCCCTCGGGGGGGATACCACTCTTCACACACACTCACACATTGAGACACACACACACACGCACACACACACACACACACTCATACACAAAGACACACAGACACACAGACACACACACAAACACACACTTGTTGGCGTCGCGGCCCCGCGCGCGCGTCTGAAAAGCACATACACACACACACACACACACACACGCACACGCACACGCACACACACACACACACACACACGCACACACCCACCCACCCACCCACACACACACGCAAACACCACACACACACACACACACACACAACACACACACTCACTACCACACACACACACAAACACACACACACACACGCGCGCACGCACGTACGGGCGCGCGCGCACACACACACACACACACGCACACACACACACCACACCCACCCACACACACCACACCCACCCACACACACACACACACACACCAAAGCGCGCTGGCAGCCGACAGCGACGACCAGCACGCACGCAACACGTAGGCCCCATTCGCGGCCGCTCGGAGCGACGGCCGTGGGCGCCCCCGAGGCCCTCCTCCACGGGGCGCACGGCCGATGGAAAATGACACCACCCCGAGTCCCGAGATGAGCCCAGAAGTATCCAAAGCCCTTTGCCCAGATTTTGGACGAAGAATTAAAAATAGTCAAACAATCATCAAGAATAGTTCGGAAATCATCAACAAATCGTCCCCAGACAAATTTTTTACTATTTTTGAATATTTCCCCCTGTAGAGGGACACGCCCGACTTAACCCGAGCCCTGAGATGAGCCCAGACGTATCCGAAACCCTTTGCCAAACCTGCATGCCACGAATGTCTGCACACGCACCGGCGCCGGTGCGGTCCGCGCTTGCCTTCAGCGAAGGCGGCGGTGCATAAGACTGATGGCTCTCAGTGGTGATCTCCACACAGCGCAACCCCCCCTGAGACCGTCGTTGTCCTCCTCCTCCTCCTTCTCCTCCTGCTCCTCCTCCTCCTCCTCCTCCTCCTCCTCCCCGAAGGGTCTACTGTGGGGGCTCGTGTGCACTTCCACCCTTGTGGCGGAGGCTGGCCTTCCGCTCGCGACAGCCGTCCGGCGGTCTACGCGGCCTGCAGCGGGCATATGGTCCGCTTCAGATTTTTTACGCCGAAGGCATCTATACACCACCACGCTGGAACCCCCTCCATGGCGCGCGGAGCGCGCCAGGAACGGCGCCGGAGGCGCCGCTAGGGGGGTCCAGCGCGGATCCGAGGAATCCGCGCGGGCCTCCGAGATTTCATGTTTATGTCAGTCTTCGCTCCCCCAATCGAAATCCTCGCCATGTTTTTTTTTTTTTTTATCGAAATCCTCGCCATCTTGTGGCATCGTCGTCGAAGTCCAACAGCTTTAAGTCGGGCGTATCCTCGTACATGCGAACGTCGACAACTAAGCAGTATCTGACAAATAATCCAACATGTTCCAACATTAGTTATGTATGGATTCATGCACGTAGTTATTTATTGAACTATTAAATTACTTATGAATATATACATACATACATATATATACATATCAGAGTGAGGGGGCCGAACGGTCATTCACTGTCCCTGGGTGCGTGGCTGAAGTGGGATTCCGCGGTGCGGATTCGTGTTGTTGTTGTTTGCTGTTGTTGTTGTTGTTGTTGTTGTTGTTGTATGTTGTTGTTGTTGTTGTTGTTTGTTGGTGTTGGTGTGGTTGTTGTTGTTGTTGGTGGTGGTGGTGTTGTTGTTGTTGTTGTTGCTGCTGTTGTTGTTGTTGTTGTAAGTGGTGGTGGTGGTGTTGTTGTTGTTGATGTTGGTGTTGTTGTTGTTGGTGTTGTTGTTGTTGTTGATGTTGATGTTGTTGTTGTTGTTGGTGTTGTTGTTGTTGAACATTATTAATTCTA